AATAAAACTTGAATGTTTTTTATAAGAGCATTATATTATACATATATTTTTTTTTATGTTTATAATAATTACATGATCATAATAATTATATGATCTTTAATTATTTATTAACATTTTTAAGAGTTAATATTTTATTAGAAGCTTTAAAATATAGTTTAAGATTGCACTTTAAAGCTTCTAATATCAAAAATGTAATTTTAGTTATTGCAATTATAAAATTATTAAAATTTTGAAATTGAGTATTTAGAGAGAATACTTTAAAAAGCAATAATGTCATGCAATGTAACAAAAGTTAATGATTTCACTCGATCAGCAAACATTACGCCACTGTAACAATCACTAGGAAATGACGTTAAATCATTTGCGTCTTGTGTTTAGAGCTGTTTCCAGTTAACAAGGCGTAGGCGGGTGTTATGCAAATTTTGGTGCAGCATCCTTCGCGTTAATGGCGCGGTCGTGAAGGCATGCGACTGACGCGAAGATAAATAAATAGGAACAAGACATGAACTGTGTGAATGAATGTAAGATCAAATATATCCCATCACGTGTCCAAATATAGCTATTGTCACATTGAAAAAACAAGGAGAATAGTATATATATATATATATATATATATATATATTATAAACTGGTCTTTTTGGTGTTATCCATGGTTAGCACGATGTGGAGACCAATCGGGCAGTGACATCAAATTAGTCTCGTTTACAAAATACGCTGTTATTTTGACCACTCGGTCATTCTGATAATGAATTACACGCATTTCAAAGGTCACAATATTCGTGTAATTAACATCGGTAAAAATAATCGTCACATATTTATACTGTACACCATTTTATCGTACGTTGCAATCTGTTCTTACAACTTCGAATACGCGTCGAGTGTCATCGCAGCACTTACATCTAATATAGATTTATAGTCGCTGTAATAGATTATTATCCATTTAACGTAATACAAAGTGGCACCGTTACATAAGTAGGGCATTCCGTATTCCATATAGCACAGAGAATTCTAGCAATATTGCTGCAATGTTGCTGGAATGTTCTGAGTAACGATCATGTAACTTTTTCCGTAGAACAGAAACGTGAAAAATGAAAAATTTCTCCATTTTAATGAAAAATTTACACTTTTCACGTTTTTATCTCAGGGAAAGAGGTACATGCTACCCTCGTGCTATAAGGGACTGATCAACGATATTTGCGAGATACTGATAGTCAATTTGCCGCTACAATCATTGCAATGATACATTTATCGATGATTTAAGATGCAAACATCGCTGAGAGAATACGGGTTACCCTTACGGGTACGAACACGATCTAACGATGCATTTACTGAAGGAGAAGGGACACAGATCATTACGCCATTTTCGACGTAAGTTTAGCACGAGAGTTCGTGTTGCTTGCGAATGCAACGAGTCTTGGTACGATTCGATACAGGCGTCAGAATTTCAATGTCAAAAAAGAAAAACGCGATAGGCGTATAACAACTAGATAAATTCTTAACAATATTAAATTCTCATCATGTTTACCGCATAAATGTAACATGTGCAAAACGTTGCCTTGCCTGAACCTTAACACTTCCGTCTATACACACGAATCGCGCCAT